TATTTAGAAATTCTAAATTTGCCAGACTTGAATATTTTGACTCTACAAAAAACCACCTTACTCGGAACAGCTTACATCCTCCGACGATACCTTAACAGTTCCTAGGTCCTTGGTTAGGACTTGAGCTGCTGAGCTATTAACCAGCCTCAAAGGCTGTGAATCTCACCAAAGATTAAATAATAATAATAATAATAATAATAATAATAATAATAATAATAATAATAATAATAATAGTACCACCTTAACAGTTCCTAGGTCCTTGGTTAGGACTCGAGCTGTTGAGCTATTAACCAGCCTCAAAGGCGGTGAATCTCACTAAAAATTAACCAATAATAATTATTATTATTTTATTTCTATACCGCCCTTCTCCCGAAAGATTCAGGGCAGTGTACAGCCTGATTAAAAGCACAAAGACAAACAAAATTTAAAAATAATTAAAATTATTAAATAATTGGCTCAATTATAAAACCCCCAAAATTTAAAATCCCACATTTAAAACCAATTAAAATCTTTACATTGATAGCCCGGCCTGGCGGAACAACAAGGTTTTGAGGGCACAGCGAAATACACGGAGGTCGGAGATCTTACACATTTCTGGGGGCAGTTCATTCCAAAGGGCAGGGGCTCCCACAGAGAAGGCCCTCCCCCTGGGTGTCGCCAGCTGACATAATTTGGCCGATGGCACCCTGAGGAGACCCTCTCTGTGGGAGCGGACTGGCCGGTGGGAGGCTACTGGTGGCAGAAGACGGTCTCGAAGGAGGTAAGACCAGTAGTGGAGAAAGGAGATAAAAAATACTATAAAGATCACTTGGACAGCTGCAATTTTTGTTCTAAGTTTATTATTTTAGCACCGTAGTAATTTTGAACGGTCGCTGAACTTACGGACAGAACCCAAGGACTACCTGTATTGATTCTTAGCTGTGACTGATCTTCTGGTTTTGCCTTGCAGGAAATGCCTTTGGTGAGATCAGTGTCGATGGATAAGCGAGGAAGCCCCACCTTATCCGGCTCCACCACGGCATCCATAGCATGGCTAAAGCAGCGAGGAGAAGAGTCCAAGATTGGTCACAAAAGTCCTTCCACTTCTTGCTGGTTGCCTTGGGTGCCCGTGCCACAGTTGGAGGAGAAGCAGCTGCCGACGTCCAAGGAACAGGCTGAGGAGCTGAGCAACTCTGGGTTTGCCCCTTTGTCCGCGGAGCGAGATGCTGGAGAGACCCAGGTCAGGCGTTTCCGACACAGGTCGGAACCCCAGAACTTCAAAGAGCACCGTTTTCTGATCGACTTGGATGATGAAAACATCAGAACCTCAGACGTGTGACTGTGGAGCAAGGGGGTGAAACAGGCATTCTGAGGATGGGATGTTCTGAATGAACAATTGCTAGCTTGCACCAGCTCCAAATGCAGAGGGGGAACAGATACTGCAATAAAGCTAAGAAGGATCTACACTTCACGTGTGGGTTGCTGAAGTCTTCTCAAGATCCAGCCTCATTCAGAGGGTGCCAGAATGTCCACGATGGTCCTGTTTCAAGTCGGTTGAGGATGCCAGAACCATGTAAAGGAGCTTACCCCGTTCACCATTGGAAGCTGTTCGTTCCGCCATCATTGCTTCCTGTCTGGGAAGGGAAGGGAAGGGAAGACGACAGTCGGAGGCCTTGATAAACATGTCGCGTTTCTGTCTGTTTGCTTGTGCAAAAAGGCTTTACTAAGAGTTACCCGGAACATACAGCAACATAGTAGATCTACTCTTTTCTGTTCTGGTAGCAACAATGGTGCGGTTTTGCTTGATCGGTGGATGAATTGAAGGCAGTTTACCTTGTTTAATGTTCCAAAGTTTAGGCTAGAAAGAGAGTTTGTAATCCTTTCCTTTTCCTTTCCTTTCCTTTCCTTTCCTTTCCTTTCCTTTCCTTTCCTTTCCTTTCCTTTCCTTTCCTTCCCTTCCCTTCCCTTCCCTCTTCTTCTTTTCCTTTCCTTTTCCCTTTCCCTTTCCCTCCCCTCCTTCCTTCCTCCCTTTCCTCCCTTCCTCCCTTCCTCCTTCCTCCCTTCCTCCCTTTCCTCCCTTCCTTCCTTCCTTCCTCCCTTCCCTTCCCTTTTCCCCTTCTCTTCCCTCCCTCCTACACTCTTTTCTTTTCCTTTTCCCTTTCCCTTTCCCTCCCCTCCTTCCTTCCTCCCTTTCCTCCCTTCCTTCCCTTCCTCCTTTCTTCCCTTCCCTTTTCCCCTTCCCTTCCCTCCCTCCCTCCCTTCTTTCCTTTCTCTTAAAGACGATAGTCTCAGATGATAATATGAGATTCTGGTACTTACCTGAGTTACAACCAAGTTAAGATTTTGAGCTCCTCATGATATAATTGTTTGTAGCAGATAGCTTGGCTATCAAAAAAGCAACATGGCAGGGTGAAAAACATCACCCAACAAATTCTAAGAACATTCAACAGCAGGCTGGCGATAAGGTATACATAAAATCTATACCGAAGAAAGGAATTTTCAAGAAATTGGAGAGAGGAAACAGAGCAAGGACATCCTCGTTGAAATAGCATCTTGTTTCAGCCCTTCTCTGGGGGTCTGTGCGACTGTGAAAAAAATAATAATAATGGAGGTACCAAAAGGTTTTTTTTTCCATAGTGAATGTCAAATGATACTTTGAGCAATGAGGTTGTCATATGCTGAGCAGATATTGACACCTAGAACTGAGTAATTCTTTTAATGACTGCCTAGGATTCATGAAGATTTTAAAGTGGGGTCTTTCCTGGTAACCTTTGGATCCTGGGGACCTGGGAGGGGGTGCAAGTCGGTAGTATCCCCTGACGCTTCGATCTATTGTGATGGGAGTGGAGATGAACATCTTGCAAGGAGCAGGAAGGTGTAGGTCTCATTTAGCCTTTGCAAGACTGCTTCCTCCTCCTTCGGCAATTCCAAGGACAGCTGAGCTTGGAGGGCAGAGGAAATTTAATTCAGAAAACGTGGGAGTCGGGAATACCTGGCTGTCCCACCAAGGAGGAGAAAAGTTGATCAAGAGGAGAACAGAACCGAAGAACCACCCTTCCAAAACAAAGTCCAGCTTCTTTGCTTCCTACTCATCTTACGTCTTTCCCAAAGTGGGACTTTACAAGCTCTGGCTACCGTGATTTCATTTCAGGAAGGTTATGTTGAATGAAGATGAGTTCCTAGTCTGTACTAAATCAGCAGGTAGAAGATACAGGAAGTTCTGAATGGTAGAGTAGAAGCAGGAGGAAAGCTCTCCTAAATACAGGGGTCGGCTGCTGGGGGTTCACAGGGGTTCGGGAGAACCTCTAGCTAAGATTCTGTGCAGTTAGGAGAACCCCCAAATCCCACTGGCTGGCCCTGCCCAACCCGCCCCTCCCAGGAGTCCCCACGCAGCCCATTTTGGATGCAGGTAAGTGCAGGGCATGCATAGAAGCTCGGGGAGGATGAAAAACGGGCCTACCGAAAGTTAGGGAAGGCCGGAAACGGGCCCATTTCCAGCCTCCGGAGCCTGGGGAGGCTGTTTTTGCCCTCCCGGAGGCTCAAGAAAAGCCTCTGGAGCCTGGGGAGGACAAAAACGCCCCCCCTCCATGGTGCAGGAGGCCAACATGGCCACACCCACCAAGCAATCAGGTAGAGAACTCCTTGCTAAATTTTTTGAAGCTCATCCCTGCCTAGATAGATCTATTATTTCCTGGTACTGTGGTTCCATCTTACTCAAGCTTGACGGTCTCTCCTTAAAGAAAACAATTTCAGGGGACGCTGCGAGCACATCAGTGGCGGTACAGATTTGCAACGGAAAATGCGCAGTGCTAATTTTGCCTTCCGATAGTTGACAGGAAGCACGCTTTGGAGCAGATGAGGAGGAAGCCCACTCCCCGTTTTGAGCCATAGGCTTACGGTTAAATTCCTGTGTTCAATTGTGCAAAGACTACTGCTCTCTCGCAAAATGTGTGAATGTCTGTGATACCAAGATTCTCAGGTGGGCATCCTTTTGTACTTCGGTTCATTCAGGAATAAGACTTTTCTTTTGTTTGTTTGTGTGTTGTTTTTTAAAAAAATAAGATGCAGTATGATCTCTCCTATTGAGCCAGATGGGTTATTTTGCTGTTGCTTCCAGATTCCTGCCAAGCATTTGGCAAAAATAACACTTGCTTGAGATGTGAGGCTGTAGGTGACTTCGAATCCCCTAATCAACGTGGGTACTGGAAGGGAAGAATAGTGGCTGAAATAATCTGCATTGTTCTTACCTCCTCAAAAGAAAAAAGTGGCAACCTTTATAATTTAAGGAAATTGAAATCATTTGCATCTTTTTTTTTTTTCCCCTTTCGGATGTCATCGAATTCTTGCGATGGGCATAACTTCATCCGGAGCCTTTTGTGAAGGCTGTTATTCACACTTGAAAGGAAGCTGCTAAAATCATTTCAGACAGGGGTATCAAACTCAAGGCCCGCGGACTGGATCCGCCCCACGGACTTCTTAGATCTGACCCGCGGGGTCACCCTGGAAACAGCAAAGGACTGGCCCCTGGTGCTTCGGCCAGTGAAAATGGAGATCAGGAGGACCGCAAGTGGCTCTCCCGAGCTCCGTTTTCGCTCGCCGAGGGTTGCAGGAGGCCGTTGCAGCCGAAAACGGAACTCGGGAGCCTGTTATCGCTGGCAGAGTGCTCGGGCCACCACAGGAGCCCCCGACACGAGTGACGTTGAGCTGGCCACGTCAACCCCGGTCACGCCACACCCCCGCCCTTCCGGGATCAAACACAACCCTGATGCGGCCCACAATGAAATCGAGTTTGACACCCCTGATTTAAGAGATCATGCTGTTTTTTGGTTTTAACCTTGATAACACAGAGGCGAGGAAGAAGGAGTAATTAAAGCATTATGCTGTGGACCACCTGATTGTTTTTTGACACCCTCTGGAAGGCGTGCTTATTACTGCAAAGTTAAATGGGGTTTAATCCCCCGATCAATAGACCCACAATTACAGCTTTCATCCACTTCTTTGCTCTGGAGATTTTTTTTTTTTTAGCCGTTGTTAATACATAAAATTATGACCAGAATTTTGTGTTGTCTCTCTCTCTCTCTCTCTCTTTTTTTTTTCTTCTCATGTTGGATTTCATATAAAATTAAATACTGGGTCCTAGTACAGGTAATCCTCAGTTTACGACCACAAATTTCTGTTGCTAAGTGAGTCGCTTGTTAAGTGAGTTTTGCCCCATTTTTATGACCTTTATTACCACAGTTGCTGTTCTGCCCCAGCTACGGACCCCAAGGAACTCAGCACACACAGAGTCTGCACAAAACTTAATTTGCTAAAATAACTCGGTCTTTCTCAAACAAAGGCTGTTAATAAACTTTATCTAAAGTTTATTAGAAACTAATCAAGAGGAGAAGCAACTTAGAACTAAGGAGAAATTTCCTGACAGAACAATTAATAAGTGGAACAACTTGCATGCAACAGTTGTGAATGCTCCAACATTGGAAGCTTTTAAGAAGAGATGGTTGCTGAAGATGTTGGATAACCATTTGTCTGAAGTAGTGTAGGGTTTCCTGCCTGGGCAGGAGGTTAGACTAGAAGACCTCCAAGGTCCCTTCCAACTTTGTTATTCTATTCTAACCTAGAAATAAGGAGAACTTTTCTGACAGTGAGAACAATCAACCCATGGAACAGAAGTTGCCTTCGGAAGCTTCATCACTGGAAGCTTTCAAGAAGAGACTGGAGTGGCATCTGTCAGAAATGGTGTAGGGTCTCCTGCTTTTGGGGGGGGGGGGTTGGGCTAGATGACCTACAAGGACCCTTCTGACTCTGTTAATCTCTAAAATCCCATTCCCGAGGTCTAAGAACAAGATGGGGCATTTCATAATAAAAGCCACATCCAGATATCCAGAACTCTATATAAAAATTAGGGGTATCCGTGGGAGGGTTTTTTAAATTAGAGGGACGTGGTGGCTCAGTGGCTAAGACGCTGAGCTTGTTGATCAAAAGGTCGGCAGTTCAGTGGTTCGAATCCCTAATGCCGCATAACGGGGTGAGCACCCGTTACTTGTCCCAGCTTCTGCCAACCTAGCAGTTCGAAAGCATGTAAAAAATGCAAGTAGGAAAATAGGGACCACCTTTGGTGGGAAGGTAACGGCGTTCCGTGCGCCTTTGGCGTTTATTCATGCTGGCCACATGACCACGGAAACATCTTCGGACAGTGCTGGCTCTTTGGCTTTGAAACGGAGATGAGCACTGCCCCCTAGAGTCGGGAACGACTAGCACATATGTGCGAGGGGAACCTTTCCCTTTTTATTCATATAATCCCCACCAGTGGAGTTTGTCTGAAGGCCTTTTAATTTGTTTACAGGTAGACTGCTATGGGCAGAGGTACTTTGCCAAGTTTTAATTTTCTTTATCAGGAAAATTTATATGGCTGCCCAACTCACTCACGTGACTCCGGCTGACTTACAGAAATAAAACCCTCTATTTAAAAAAAAACAAAAACCCCAATAATTGTACACACACACACACACCTTATGTGAACAATAAGACCACCACTTGATGGGTTCCATATCATCCTGAGGTCTCTAGATCTGTGAAAAAAACATATCTTCAGGGCCTTTTGAAAGAATATCAAAGTGGGGACCTATCTTATTTTCACAGGGAGGGAGTTCCACAGGGTGGGAGCCACCACCGAGAAGGTCCTTCCTCTTGATCCCACCAGATGGACTAAGTTTTTCTTCTCCAAACCTAGCAAGGGTTCTTAAACAGATCTGCAAAAGCTCCTTGAACAGTGGTATTTGGGAGGAGAAGGCCAGGGGCTTAGGAACCATTCAAAGGTAAGAACCTAAAACATATAAAGAACAGTTGCTGGAATCAGGTATGTCTAGTTTGATGAGAAGATGGACCAGGGGAGACATGATAGCAGTCTTCTAATATCTCAGGGGCTGCCCCAAAGAAGAGGGAGTCAAGTCAGTGGTGAAATCCATTTTTTTACTACCAGTTCTGTGGGCGTGGCTTGGTGGGTGTGATGTGGCTTGGTGGGCGTGGCAGGGGAAGGATACTTATTTATTGATTTATTGATTTATTTATTTATCAAATTTCTATACCGCCCTACTCCCGAAGGACTCAGGGCGGTGAACAGCCAAGATAAAATACAGGTAATACATTAAAAATCCATTAAAATTATTAAATTTTTTGGCCAAAACCAATTTAAAACACCCAATTTATAAATATACTGCAAAATCTCCATTCCCACCCCACTCCAGGGGAAGGATACTGCAAAATCTCCATTCCCACCCGGAATTTGCCGGGTTCTCCGAGCTACTCAAAATTTCCGCTCCCTGTTCTCCAGATCCTCCTGCTGGATTTCACCTCTGAGTCAAGCTATTCTCCAAAGCACCAGAGGGTAGGACAAGAAGCAATTGGGTGGAAACGAATCAAAAAGAGAAAACAACCTAGAACTGGGGGGGAAAAAAATTTCCTGACAGTTAAAATAATTAATCAGTGGAAACGACTTGCCTCCAGAAATTGTGAATGCTCCAACGCTGGAAGTTTTTTATGAGATTGGAGAACCATTTGTCTGGAATGGGTTAGCGTTTCCTGCCTAAGCAGGGGGTTGGACTAGAAGACCTCCAAGGTCCCTTCCAACTCTGTTATTCTATTCTATGCTGAAGTCCTGGTATTGCGCCCCAGCTCTGATTCCATCCTGACGTTCACCAGTGCTTTGATTGGTAAGGAGAACTTTGCACGTCCAGGTTAAGTTTTGGTCCACGCACCTCTGCCTGTGACTACTGGCGGGGGTGGTGGGTGGGTGGCATTAGCTACCCACGGGCCTCCGCCCCCTTGGCCCCGACCCCTCTGGCTCTCCCCGCATAAAACCTGCGAGCCGTCGGCGCAGCTATCCAGTCTGGTTCCTGCAGCCAGGGACGCCCCGTCCAACGCCATGGCACGGTCGCCGCTCTTCCTCCTCCTCCTCCTCCTCCTCCTGGCCGCTCCTTCCAGCCCATTGCCGCCTTGCCCAGCGGAGTGCCAGCAGATGCGCTGCCCGCCTCACTCCCCACAAGCCTGCCTGGCCGTCGGAGGCGAGCTCCAGCTGGACAGCTGCGGCTGCTGCTTGGACTGCGCGCCTGGAGAGGGTCAACCGTGCGCTCCAGACGGTCTCTGCGCCCGGGGCTTCTTCTGCTACCGGCAGCCGGACAGCCCCGGACCTGGCACTTGTTCGTGCGTCGAGGGGCCGCTGGGCGTCTGCGGCAGCGATGGGCGCACTTACAGCAGCCTTTGCCAGCTGCGCGCCCGGAACCATCAGTCCAACTCTGGCCACCAGCCGCTGGTCGTCCCAGTCCATAAGGGAAACTGCGGAGATGCAGGTGGGTGCGGGGTCCGTTGGGAGAGGGTGGTAGAGGAGGAGGTGGAGGAGAAGACTGGGGGTCCCTTTCCTACTTGGGGCCACAGCTTGGCTAGAAACCTAGTTTACCAGGCAGAAGAGCTGGAATCTGTTCCTGGGCACATTAAACTTGGCCAAGCACAGGAGGAGTTTGCAGTAGTAAAACTCCATACTGTTTCTCTTGGGAAGAGAAAGTAAGAGAATAGAAGAACAGAGTTGGAAGGGACCTTGTAGATCATCTACTCCAACCCCCCCACCCAGGCAGGAGACCCTACACCATTTCTGACAGAGGGCAGTTCAGCTGCTTCTTGAAAGCTTCCAAGGATGAAGCTCTCAACAACTTCCCTTCTTTGGGTTGATTGTTCTCACTGTCAGGAAGTTTCTCTTTATTTCCAGGTTGAGTCTTTCCTATTTCAGTTTCCAACCATGGTTTCTAGTCTGGGCTTCGGGGGCTTTGGAAAATAGCTTGACCCCTTCAGAGATAGCCTTGGAGCCTACGGAGCCTTGGTGGCGCAGCAGAGTAAAGTGCTGTTAAGTAGCACCAGCTGCCTGCAATTACGGCAAGTTCAAATCTCACCAGGCTCAAGGTTGACTCAGCCTTCCATCCTTCCGAGGTAGGTAAAATGAGGACCCGGATTGTGGGGGCAATAAGCTGACTTTGTATAAAAAAAGAACACCGCTTAGGGGGGGCCAAAAGCCCTACTAAGCAGGCATATACAAATGCAAGAATATTGCTGCCTTTTCACCAGTGATGATGTGAGTTGGAGCCCAGTCTATCTCTGTGGATGACACCAGTTTTAGGAAAAGTTGTGTATGGAAACTCCTTATAGTAGATCAGTCTGTTGTTCATCCAACTAAAACTAATTTGGTGGCATCATTTGCCATGCAACGGTTTTCTATGGAGATTTGGGGGGACTGGACCCCAAATCAGGGGTGAAATCCAGCAGGTTCTGACAGGTTCTGGAGAGCCCGTAGCGGAAATTTTGAGTAGTTCGGAGAACTGGCAAATGCCACCTCTGGCTGGCCCCAGAGTGGGGAGGGAATGGGGATTGTGCAGTATCCTTCCCCCAGGAGTGGGGGGGGGAATAGGGATTTTGCAATATCTTTCCCCTGGAGTGGGGTGGAAATGGAGATTTTGCAGTATCCTTCCCCCTGTAGTGGGGTGGGAATGGAGATTTTGCAGTATCCTTTCCCTGGAGTGGGGTGGGAATGGAGATTTTGCAATATCCTTCCCCCAGGAATGGGAAGGGAATGGGAATTTTGCAGTATCCTTCCCCCAGGAGTGGGAAGGGAATGGGGATTTTGCAGTATCCTTCCCCTGGAATGGGATGGGAATGGAGATTTTGCAGTATCCTTCCCCTGGAGTGGGGAGGGAATGGAGATTTTGCAGTATCCTTCCCCTGGAGTGGGGAGGGAATGGAGATTTTGCAGTATCTTTCCCCTGGAGTGGGTGAAAATTGAGATTTTGCAGTATCCTTCCCCTGCCACGTCCACCAAGCCACGCCCACCAAGCCACACCACGCCCACCAAGCCATGCCCCCAGAACCGGTAGTAAAAAAAAATGGATTTCACCGCTGCCCCAAATCCCCATGTGTTTTAGCATTGCCTCTCACTGGCTTTAAGATGCCTCAATGAACTAGGAGAGTCATTGTTCTACAGGTGCTGTGGACGTCAACAGTCTAAGGAATAAATTT